GAGCTACACCCAACTCATTTTAGTCTGTACTTTTTGGTTCCAAGAGACAGAATTCCAACTGAAAACAAAAAAGGCTCATATAACCAAACAGGAGAAGACAGAAATGGGTCTGCAGGAAGCCTGGAAGATGAGACAGCATTTCTGACTCCTAGTCACTATGGCATCTCTAGCAGCTTTTATCAATCAAACCATTGGAGAACTTGGTCAGCCATGGCTCTAGGCTCATCACTGGTTGAAAATGAGATGGTATGGCAAAGGAATACCCTAAGACAAACTTTATGCTGTGTCACTGTGACCTGAGAAATGAAGCTGCTTTTCTACAATTTCAGGCTTTAAAAAATATTTTATTTCTATTTTATGTATATGAGTGTACTGCCCACATGCATGCAAATGCACCCGTGTTGCACAATGCCTGTGGAAGCCAGAAGAGGGTGTCAGATCCCCTGGAATTGGAGCTACAGATGGTTGTTAGCCACCACGTGGGTGCTCCAGAAGAGCAACTGGTGCTTTCAACCACTGAGTCATCTCTCCAGCCCCCAATTTCAGACATTTTTAGACTAATAAAATATTGTGTTGGTTGCTTTGCATACAAGACAGGGAGAGAAAGGGGTTGTCTGGGGGACAGATTGTTTCACTTGCTGACCTTGCACCTAGACTGCATAATATAAAGTGTTCTTTCTTATAAAGATTGTGCTAGTCTGCCCAGGCTGCCATAACAAAATACCACAGAATGACTTGAGCACACTTTTCACAGAGCTGGAGACTGGAAGAACCAGATGGCCAAGTTAGGGGTGGGTGGATGGTAGAGGGTTAGAGCAAGCACATGCACCAGCAGACCCTCTGGTGTCTGCTGTAAAGATGAAGGCCCACACTTGGGATGTCACTTAACTTTAATTACTTCCAGAGTATTCGTCCTGTCTCAAATATACAGAGGACTAGGGCTTCAACATAGGGAATTTGGGGAGAAAACTTTTTTTTTCTTTTTTTATATACTGTCTCCCTATAGCCCCAGCTGCCCTCAATCTCAGAGAGATTAAAGGCATATGTCACCACACTTAGCCTACACATTCAGTTTGTAAAAGGGATATACTGACATGCATTGGAAAACAAAAGTTAGTATTTTGTGAAGCAGGAAGAACCCTAGATACTGATCCTCTTTTTGTTTCAGCTGAACAACCAAAAATAAAACCACTTCTAACAAGAGATATGGCCACTTCTAACAAGTCAGCAGCTTGCTTTTCTTTTTTTATTTAATGTGTATGAGTGTATTGCCTGAATGTATGTAAGTGCACCCGTGCTGTGCAATGCCCCCATGGAGGTCAGAAGAGAGTGTCAGATTCCTCTGGAACTAGTTACGGACAGTTGTTAGCTGCCATGGAGTGCAGAACCAAGGTCTTCTGCAAGAGCGGCTAGTACTCTTAACCACTGAGCCATCTCTCCAGCCCCTCTTTTCATTTCTTTTTAAGACAGGCTCTTAGTATAGCCCTTGCTGGCCTTGAACTCAGAGATCCACCTGCATCTGCCTCCAAAGTCCTGTTATTAAAGGTGTGTGCCACCATACTTGGGTAGAAATAGCAACTTTTGAAAATTGGATACTTAAAGTCATCTTAATTAAGCCTTGGTTAAAATTATGTTCACATTTTTCTTTGTTTTGTAAAATATGTTTGACTTCCCAAAGTAATGGCTATTAGTTTAAATACATTAACATTTTTATTTATGTTGCAGTGATTGAAGTTTGGGGCAGATGATAGAAATGTGCATATTTTCTTAATCCTTTGTGTATAAATCAAAGCAAATAGGAAGTTTAGAAGCTGAAAATTAAATGTCTCAATCATAAATTTTTTTTTTTTTGGTCTTTTTGAGACAGGGTCTCCCTGTAGCCCCAGCTGTCCTGGAACTCACTATGTAGACCAGGCTGGCCTTGAACTCACAGAGGTCCGCCTGCCTCTGCATCCCGGGCGCTGGAATTAAAGGTGTGTGCCACCATGCTCGGCCAATCATAAACTATTTTTAAGATCCTTCAAGCACCTGCAGAATGCTTTGTTTTGGGGGGGGGGGCGGTAAAACAACTGATATACTTACTGTGCATTATACATGCCTAAGAAATGACAGGTTATTGAGAACACTGAAAATAAGATGAGGGCAGGACTGCAAACCTGAAAGAGACTATGCGTTCATAACCAACAGCTTCTCTAGATGGAACATTGGGGGCTTCATGGTGGCTGAAACACACAGTTAAGAATTCCCATTGGGGACAGGGGTGGTCTCTGTCACTTGCAGATTCTGGTGCTGAGAGAACTGATTCTCTAGAATGGACGTCCTACCTCCTTTGATGGCCAGCTGTAGTCTTGATTTCACATGTGGTCCTGGACACCCAAGCTTTAATGTTGAACCTTTCCCATTCCCAGGCACCAAAAGGCTTTCCGTCATTTTTCCATTACTCTTCTACAGCTCCAGTGTACCTTTGCCTGTGCCCTACAGAACATGTAAATCACCTAATTGAACTTCTGGAGATAAAAATCAGTTTGAGAAATTAAAAATCAAAAAATTACTTTAATAAGTAAACTGATACAACTTTCAAACTAAAAATATGTAATTGTATTTTAGAATGTAAATTTATAATTATGTCTACTATAATTTTGAGTATTTACCAACAAAACAGTACTATCAAGCTTCAACAATATTGTAAAATTTCTCACTGTTGTAATATGTTTGGCATTTAGTCCCCTTTCAAATTCTCCAACCTATACAAAGTTTTTCAAAGTAATCAAGTTATTTTTGTTAAAAAAGTAATGCTATTAAAAACTATTGAATTTGGGAGGCAGAGGCAGGTGGATCTCTGTGAGTTCAAGGCCAGCCTGGTCTACATAGTGAGTTCCTGGACAGCTGGAGCTACAGGGAGACCCTGTCTCAAAAAGACCAAAAAGCAAAAAACAAATGTTGAACCATCCCTGCATTCCTGGGATAATTGTTTGATCATTTTAAAATCTAAAAAAAACCAAAAAGATTTTTAGTGAAGAGGCTAGAGAGATGGCTCGATGGTTAAGAGCACTGGTTGCTCCTGCAAAGGACCTGAATTCAGTTCCCAGCCCCTACATAGTGACTAATCATCTGTAACTCCAGTTTCAGGGGGTCCAATACCCTCTTCTGGCCTCCATGGGTGTTATACACATGCAGAGCACTTACATACATGCAGGTAAGACACTCATACACATAAAATAAAAAAAATAAATAAAACTTAAAAAAAAAAAAGAATTCCCAGTAACAGAGGAATTATGAGTCCACAGGACCCAGATGAACTGGCAAAGGAGGGAAAGTGACTGCAACTGTTCTCACTACCCCACAAAGCAGACTGTAAAACACTACTGGGCAACATAGTATTTTTCCAGTATTAGCTATTATATGTTCTTGAGAACAATAAAATAAACTATAATTCAAATTATAGACTGAAATATTCTATAATTCACTTGCTTTAATTCAGACTTGCTATCCAATTGGCTCAAGCTCAGTCTTAATTATGTACACAGTGATTTATTTTTATTTTTATTGAAAATGCAAAGTAATATTAAAGAAAATTTAAATAAGTTAAAAATCATTCCATAACCCTTCTACTAACACAGTGAATTTATTTTGAATATCACCTTCTCATGCACAAAGGTTTTACATTGACAATCCTAGTATGCATACTATTTTGTATTGTGCTTATTTTCTCACCATAGACATATCCTGTTTCTATGGTCTTCCAAACAATTATTTTCATGGCAGTGTAGTTTATTATTTTTGTTAGCATACTTTCTTTGACATGTAGATTCCCCCATAGTTTTAATTGCTACTATTAAAACTATAGTTTAATTGCTACTATTTATAATGCACACATAAACATTCTCATGCACTTATTTATTTATTTATTTGGTATAATTCTTAAGTTTAAAAACGAATAGAGTTCACAGAGCAAAGATTATGGTCACTTAATACATTTTTAAATTTATTTTCATCATCTACATATATGTATGTGTATGCATGTGATGGGTGTTTGGGGCAAACATGTGCCGCAACATACATGTGGAAGTTAAAGGACAACTTTCAGGTGTCAGTTCTCTCCTTCCATGGTGGGTTCTGGGATTCAGCTCAGGTCTCAGGCCTGTGCAGTAAGCATTCTTACTTGCTGAGTCATTTTACTGGCCCAATATCGTCAATTTTATGGCTCGTGTTATAAAGTACCATATTGCAACTCCAAAGGGTTGTATCTATTTAAAATGCCATCTGAAGTGATATATTAAATAGCATCTGCTTAAAAGATTTTTTAAAAATCAGAGTTAGTTTTAAACTTCAATATTTACAGTGAAAAATAAGTACTCTTTTTAAAAAAACAGCATGGAATAGATGGTCTCACAGGTCACTAAAAGTTCAGATAAGCTAACTTAAGCAGTGCTTCCCAACTTTTCTCATGTTATGACACATTTGGGAAGTGACTGCAGGCACACAGAAGATGGACAAAGGTGTGTGTCTGGCTCATCGGCCATCCTGGCCTCCTTTGGCTTCAAAAGGTGAGGGGGGCTCTGGATCTGGGCACATCTGTCTGTAGTGCCAGTGTACATGGGTCAGGAAGCTCTTGTCACAGACAGATTCAGTGACTAAAGTCACAAAAATCTAGTTAGTGGCAGAGCTGGCAAATGAATGTAAATTTTTTTTTTCTTTTTTTTGAGACAGGGTCTCCCTGTAGCCCCAGATGGCCTGGAACTCACTATGTAG